TTGCGTTATAGTTACTGTTACAGATATCGTTATAGTTACTGTTATAGATATCGTTATAGTTGTTACAGATATCGTTATAGTTACTGTTACAGATATCGTTATAGTTACTGATACAGATATCGTTATAGTTACTGTTACAGCTATCGTTATAGTTACTGTTACAGCTATCGTTATAGTTACTGATACAGATATCGTTATAGTTACTGATACAGATATCGTTATAGTTACTGTTACAGATATCGTTATAGTTACTGTTACAGATATCGTTATAGTTACTGTTACAGATATCGTTATAGTTACTGTTACAGATATCGTTATAGTTACTGTTACAGATATCGTTATAGTTACTGTTACAGATATCGTTATAGTTACTGTTACAGATATCGTTATAGTTACTGATACAGATATCGTTATAGTTACTGTTACAGATATCGTTATAGTTACTGTTACAGATATCGTTATAGTTACTGTTACAGATATCGTTATAGTTGTTACAGACATCGTTATAGTTGTTACAGCTATTTTTGCAGTTATCGTCAGAGTCAGTGTTACAGTTATTACAGCTACCGCTATAATTATCATTACAGTTACTACAGCTATTGTAATAGTTACTGTTACAGCTACCATAGTTATCATCATTGTAGTTATCGTTTACATTACCACCAAATGGTGTAGACAGGATAAAGTTTAATCATGATAAAGTAACGTTGTATTATTTGAAGAAACACTGACCTTTTCCTGTTTGGATTTGATGATGAGTTCTTCGATCAGTTCCTGTCGTGACTTGGGTTTGTGTTGTTCATCTCCGGCGCTCTTCATCCTCAGTAAACCTCCCCCACCGCCGAAGTGTGACGCGGTCAGTTCAGCTGCAGAAACAGGCAGGATTAGAGCGTAAATATAAGCGCTGGTCAGAGCCACTGATGGGGAAGGTCACATGTTTAAACGCGTCACCTGACAGCAGTCCCTTCTCCTCAGAGTCACTGTCGCTGTCAATCACATCCGCCATCTTCTCCATCTCTGCCAGAGACTGACCGTAATGCGTCAGCTCCTCTTCCTCATTCAGATTAAACATGTCCTTCCTGTCGTGAGTACGCTACACACACACACACACACACACACACACACGCAGCATCAGTAGATACCCATGATGAAGGTGCATGTGATGAGGTAATGATGAGGTGTGTCACCTGTCTCTCCAGTGTGAATCTCTGCAGGATCTTCTCCTCAGGTGTGATCTTGGTGTCATATTCCCCGAAGCGTCGGTCAACGAATTTGTTGTTCTTGCCTTTGAGTCTGAACTCCTTCAGGAGCGTTTCCTTCCTCTGTGGGATCAAACACACACACTTCATCAGACACACTCAGCGTTACAGTTTCGGCTATTATAGTTATGGGCACTATCGTTATAGTTGTTACATTTATAGTTATTGTTACAGATATTGTTACTGTTAATAACTATAATGATAGCTGTAACAATAACTATAATGATAACTATGTTACAGCTATCATTATAGTCGTTACAGATATAATTATTGTTACAGATATCGTTATAGTTATTGTTAGAGTACAGATATAGTTATTATTACGGTTACCGCTATAATTATCGATATAGTTTTTATCACACCTAATCAGGGCTGGGCACTGACACATTTATACGATTTGAATCAATTCCTTTCCATAAGGCAGTTTTTATAATAATAACGTAATAGTAATGACACATGTTTCTATAGTGGTACATATGATACACCACGGTATTTCTATAATCCTCACACACACAGTATTACTCATGATTGCATCTCCATAAACATTAGTGTGTTTTACCTTCTGATTGGCTCTGGATCGCGAGACCCCCGGCAGACCCACGTCATGTTTGCTCTTGCGACCCAAAACATCGAACTTCTTGCGGTTGATTTTCACCTCGAACGGGTTTTTCTGAATCTCCGGAGCCGCTTTAGACTTGCGCACTTTATCGGACAACCCGCTGCTCAACTTCTGCTGTTTCCTCATCATTACCCCGGTCAGACACTAAAGAACAGCTCGATATGATCATTCACTCACACTATCATAATCATTCAAACAAGCGTTAAATCCCGAGAGCGTTTCATGTGTTCCTCATCACAAACTCACACGCTGCGGACACGAGTACGAGCATACACACACACACACACGCGCGCGGAGCACAGACACTGATGGGTGATTAGCGCCACCCTGCGGGCAGGAGAGAAACTGCGCACACACACACACACACACACACGCGCGCGCGGAGCACAGACACTGATGGATGATTAGCGCCACCCTGCGGGCAGGAGAGAAACTGCGCACACACACACACACACTAACACACAGATGTGGTAATTAGCGCCACCCTGCGGGCAGGAGAGGAACTGCACATACACACACACACACACACACACACACACACACACACGTATTGTATAAAGCGTCATAGAAACACGTGTGGAATTGAATGTCATAGATCTTGTTCATATGGTGAGATCACTGTAAGTAATGAATGCTCGTTTGAACAAATACATCTATGCTTGTGACAATAAAGCCAAAATGCAGCTAAATACATTTCCAAGGCTTTTATTTAGTAAAATAAAACAAAGTTGCAGTTGAACACAAAAGAACAGCAGGGGTCGCTGTGATCATGTGTGTGTGTGTGTGTGTTCACTGTAATAATGAGCAGCAGTCACGTGATGATGTCACTGCGATTACGTCACTGGAACGAGCAGCTAACCCTAACCCAAATAAGCCAAAAAAGAAGATATATATTTTCTCTTCTGTGGTTTGTAGTTCATTTGCTGCTCTGCCAGAATATAGAAACACACACACACACACACACACACACACAGTCTTTCTCCAGATGTTTTACCACAGAGGCTGATTGTGTGTGTGTATCTTTAATCTAAACCATACTCATGTATTTACTTGTTGGCTAATTGCAATGAAATCCTGCTGGTCGCCTACACACACACACACACACACTCTCTCTCAACTTTCTCTTGTTGTTTGTCTAACAGAAAAGCGTCTGAATGTTGTGCGTCAGCAACACACGTCGGGTCAGAGGTCATCTTGTGCTGGAGGGATTGTGGGTAAATTAGAAGAAGAGTTTAAGACACACACAGTTCAGTTTCACAAACGACGAAGAAAATCTGGAAACAATCAGGATTCTCTTTGCCGCTCATTTCTTTCTTTTTTGAATGACAGGATGTGAGTCAGGATTTGGCCCGTGTGTGTGTGTGTGTGTGTCCAGTGAGTGTGTGTGTGTGTTCAGCGAGTGTGTTTGCTTGTGTGTCCAGTGTGTGTGTACAGTGAGTGTGTGTGTGTGTGTGTACAGTGAGTGTGTGTGCGTGTGTACAGTGTGTGTGTGTGTGTGTGTGTCCAGTCTGTGTGTACAGTGAGTGTGTGTGTGTGTTCAGTGAGTGTGTGTGTGTGTGTTAAGTGTGTGTTCAGTGTGTGTGTTGATCATGTGATTCTCCAGCACTGTTCCGTGTGTCAAACGCCATTTTAAAGAAGTCAAAATGTCCTCACTTTATTCTCTTTGTCTTCATTCCATCTAAAACTCAAACCGGCCCTCACACAGATAGTTCTACACACACACACACCAGTGTTGCGGGGTCACTGACCTCCAGAGTGTTTTGCAGGAAGTTCAAGAGAAAAACAGACAGACAGCAGCTCGTGTTTTAGTCATGGCTTCTTTATTTGGCAGAGATGGAGGTGAACACACACACACACACACACACACACACACACACACACACACACACACACAGACACACACACACACACACAGACAGACACACAGAGACAGACAGACAGACACACACACACACACATAGAGACAGACAGAGAGAGAGAGACACACACACACACACACAGAGACAAACACACACACACACACACACAGAGACACACACACACACATAGAGACACACAGACACACACACACACACACACACAGAGACAGACAGACACACACACACACACACACACACACACAGCGCTCAGTAGACGTATCTGGCTCTGTGGAGCAGGTCGATCTCAGGTGTGTGTGTGGGTTTGGCACAGTGGTTTCCCACAATCCTTCAGAATGATATTTACATTATATACAGGCATATGTACAACAGACGAACACACGTCAGATCATCTAAAATGAGACACACACACATCAGATCATCTAATATGAGACACACACACACACACATCAGATCATCTGAGAACACGGCAGTAAGTCCTGATCTGCGCACCTCGAGCTGATCTGGGAGCAGTGAGCGAGACGAGTCGTGAGATCACGCTCGCAGGAACCGCTACACACACACAGTCGACTGTGTGAAATAAACAGTTAATAAACAGTTATGGAGTTGTAGAAATTAAAGTTGAATCTTCAATCTCCTCCCGAAAATCCAAAAAAGTCTGTTTGTGCCTCAGTGACTTCGTTTAGAGAAGCTGTCAATCACAACTGTCAATCATGACGCCACACTCCCGTTTTTAAAGCATCAAATAACGAACTAAGATCAAACTTATTTAAAAAAAACGAACACTTAAACTTAAACCAGCGTGAAAAAAACATCCTAAAAAGACAGACGACATCTTTGGAAAAAAATAATTTGAAATGTAATTTGAATGTTTAGTTTCCCTAGCGTCACGTTAGACTTCATATGGAGGCGGGGCTTATGAGCTGTCCTGGGGAGGCGGGGCTTATGAGCTGTCCTGGGGAGGCGGGGCTTATGAGCTGTCCTGGGGAGGCGGGGCTTATGAGCTATCCTGGGGAGGCGGGGCTTATAAGCTATCCTGGGGAGGCGGGGCTTATGAGCTATCCTGGGCCCAGCCACCGGGGGGCGATCGAGCGCTTGTTTGTGCGGAACGAGACACACAGACAGTGGAACAGGGGCTTCTGGGAAGGGCGTGTCACACACAATCAGTGGAACAGGGGCTGCCGGGGTTTCTGGGAAAGGGCGTCACAGGCGGGGCTTCTGGGAAGGGGGCGTGTCACAGGGCGCCGGGGCCTCTGGGAAGGGGGCGTGTCACAGGGCACCGGGGCCTCTGGGAAGGGGCCGTGTCACACAGACAGTGGAACAGGGGCTTCTGGGAAGGGGGCGTGTCACAGGGCGCCGGGGCTTCTGGGAAGGGGGCGTGTCACAGGCCGCCGGGGCTTCTGGGAAGGGGGCGTGTCACAGGCCGCCGGGGCTTCTGGGAAGGGGCCTACAGCAGGCAGATCAGGCTCTTGCCCTCCTCGATCTCCTCCTGCACCTTGTCGCTGGACGTGGCGACCTCGGCCTGCGCGGAGAACACCGCACAGAGGAAGCTGAGGCCGGTGCCGCCCAGCGCCGTGTAGAACGCCCAGCCCACAGAACACAGGCCCAGCCGGTACGGGCCCGCATCCGGCCCGCAGTACAGCCGCGCCTTAGCAGAACCCCAGCCTGCGGGGTACAGCAGCAGACCCACCATCAGGAACAGACCTGCACACACACACACACACACAGAACGTCAGACGGAGAGAGTTAATGTCACAGCTGGACAACAGTGAGGTTCTCAAGGCCTGGGAATCGAAAGTTTATTCCAATTCTGGAATCGAATACTTGAGGTCAAGAATCAGAAACTTGTCATAAAATGTAAATTTCGCTTCCTCTCATGGATTCCTCTGTGAGCATTTCGATATGACTTCCAGTGCGAGACTGTGTTCTGTCCTCGTGTGTGTTGGACCCGCAGCTCTTCAAGGAACAGCACTAGGGCTGTAACGATACACCAAACCCACGATTCGGTTCGTATCACGATTTTTGACCGTATACAGGTCCTTCTCATACAATTAGCATATTGTGATAAAGTTCATTATTTTCCATAATGTAATGATAAAAATTAAACTTTCATATATTTTAGATTCATTGCACACCAACTGAAATATTTCAGGTCTTTTATTGTTTTAATACTGATGATTTTGGCATACAGCTCATGAAAACCCCAAATTCCTGTCTCAAAAAATTAGCATATTTCATCCGACCAATAAAAGAAGTGTTTTTAATAAAAAAAAAAAAAGTCAACCTTCAAATAATTATGTTCAGTTATGCACTCAATAGTCAATACTTGGTCGGGAATCCTTTTGCAGAAATGACTGCTTCAATGCGGCGTGGCATGGAGGCAATCAGGCTGTGGCACTGCTGAGGTGTTATGGAGGCCCAGGATGCTTCGATAGCGGCCTTAAGCTCATCCAGAGTGTTGGGTCTTGCGTCTCTCAACTTTCTCTTCACAATATCCCACAGATTCTCTATGGGGTTCAGGTCAGGAGAGCTGGCAGGCCAATTGAGCACAGTAATACCATGGTCAGTAAACCATTTACCAGTGGTTTTGGCACTGTGAGCAGGTGCCAGGTCGTGCTGAAAAATGAAATCTTCATCTCCATAAAGCTTTTCAGCAGATGGAAGCATGAAGTGCTCCAAAATCTCCTGATAGCTAGCTGCATTAACCCTGCCCTTGATAAAACACAGTGCACCAACACCAGCAGCTGACATGGCTCCCCAGACCATCACTGACTGTGGGTACTTGACACTGGACTTCAGGCATTTTGGCATTTCCTTCTCCCCAGTCTTCCTCCAGACTCTGGCACCTTGATTTCCAAATGACATGCAAAACTGAGCAACAGTCCAGTGCTGCTTCTCTGTAGCCCAGGTCAGGCGCTTCTGCCGCTGTTTCTGGTTCAGAAGTGGCTTGACCTGGGGAATGCGGCACCTGTAGCCCATGTCCTGCACACGCCTGTGCACGGTGGCTCTGGATGTCTCTACTCCAGACTCAGTCCACTGCTTCCGCAGGTCCCCCAAGCTCTGGAATCGGTCCTTCTCCACAATCTTCCTCAGGGTCCGGTCACCTCTTCTCGTTGTGCAGCGTTTTTTTGCCACACTTTTTCCTTCCCACAGACTTCCCACTGAGGTGGCTTGATACAGCACTCTGGGAACAGCCTATTTGTTCAGAAATTTCTTTCTGTCTTACCCTCTTGCTTGAGGGTGTCAATGATGGCCTTCTGGACAGCAGTCAGGTCGGCAGTTTTACCCATGATTGCGGTTTTGAGTAATGAAACAGGCTGGGAGTTTTTAAAAGCCTCAGGAATCTTTTGCAGGTGTTTAGAGTTAATTAGTTGATTCAGATGATTAGGTTAATAGCTCGTTTAGAGACCCTTTTCATGATATGCTAATTTTTTGAGACAGGAATTTTGGGTTTTCATGAGCTGTATGCCAAAATCATCAGTATTAAAACAATAAAAGACCTGAAATATTTCAGTTGGTGTGCAATGAATCTAAAATATATGAAAGTTTAATTTTTATCATTACATTATGGAAAATAATGAACTTTATCACAATATGCTAATTTTTTGAGAAGGACCTGTATATGAATATACGTGTCGTGAAGAATACTTTTTTTCAGAAATGTTTATTTTTTCCTGGATTCTGTTTTTTAATGATTTATTGCAAATTTATTATCAAAAGCAGTAATAATCAAACGAATGCACACAATGTTTTGTGTCATTTTGCTTCTCCAGTAAATGTGTCTTGATTTAAGAATGTTTGAATATTTGTGCTGGAAAACAGAAAAACACTGAGGAAGAGCAGCATTTACTCGCAGTGTGTGTGTGTGTGTGTGTGAGAGAGAGAGAGAGTGTGTGTGTGTGTGTGTGTACGTGTGTGTGAGTGATTGAGTGAGTGTTCAGTGTGTGAGTGAGTGTGTGTGTGTGTGTGTGTGTGTGAGAGAGAGAGAGTGTGTGTGTGTGTGTGTGTGTGTGTGTGTGTACGTGTGTGTGAGTGATTGAGTGTGTGTTCAGTGCATGAGTGTGTGTGAGCGAGTGTGTGTTCAGTGTCTGTGTGTGAGTGATGGTGTGTTCAGTGTGTGTGTGTGTGTGTTCAGTGTCTGTGTGTGTGAGTGATGGTGTGTTCAGTGTGTGTGTGTGTGTGTGTGTGGTGTTTAGTATAATATGAGGAAATGAAAGTAGGTCATAAATTCTTTCCACATGTTGTTGAGGGTCTGAAGGTCTCAGAGCTGCAAATACACACACACACACACACACACCTGACCATCACTCACACACACACCAGACCATCACACACACACACACACACACACACGTCCCCCGCACTGTTAGAACGTGATTCTGTCCCCAGCACTTCTTGACCCGTCTCCAATATTTCCGCCCCTGTTCTCTGATTTGTTACTCAGATTTGAGTGAACTAATAATCAGCCAATCACAAGCCATGATCCTCAAGTCTCCTGTTGCTCTCGCGGCTTCTGTCCTGGTCTGGGGTACGTACACACACACACACACACACACACACACACACACTGTAAAGGCCCTCGCACACCGAGTCATTGTGTCAATCACGTTTGCACACCGTCTCCGAAACTCTCGTCCGTCATAAAGAAATTCGTATCGGATTCGATGTTCAGCGTTCTTCGCATCCGTTGCAGTTTGAGGCGTTTTGAGAGTCCAGAGCCAGCGAATGACGAGTACGGGACGCGTGTGTGTTTAATGAAATTATTGGGTTGTTTTACAGCAGGACTGGTGAATGGTGAAAATACTGCAGATTAATTATGATTATTACGAGATCTGCAGGAAGCACCAAAACCCGAGACCTCAGAACACACACACACACACACACACACGCCGAAGCCCGTCAAATATCATGTTCCTGAGGACAGGTTTGAGAACCTCTTAGGAACTGTTGAAGAATTAAAACAAACTTCTCAGATTCGCTCCACGCCCAGCGTCAGCTACATGATGTCATCATGCTGAATTACCCATCAGCCCTCACTCTGCTCAGGGTCAGAGGTCAGACTGACTCACACATCAGCAGAACCGTCTGGAAAACAGATGAAGTGACCTCATCATCCCATGTGACCTGTTCCCCCCACACACACACACACACACAGACAGACAGACCGTGAATGTCCTACACTCAAACTATTCAAGAGCTCCCAATCAACTGCTTAACAACACCCTAGCAACCACCAGACTACCCTAGCAAGCAAATAGCAAGTGTTGGGTATCGTTCAAAAATGATCAATATCGATACAATGACTTCGATACCGGTTCCTGAACGATATTTTTTTCAATACCAATTTTAAGAACAGATGATGTTATAGCAGAGGCTGTAACATTAATGTGGAACTTTTATGATGGATAGTTGCACTTTTATGATGGACATATGCACTTTTATGATGGATAGATGCACTTTTATGATGGATAGTTGCACTTTTATGATGGACATATGCACTTTTATGATGGATAGATGCACTTTTATGATGGACAGATGCACTTTTATGATGGATAGATGCACTTTTATGATGGACAGATGCACTTTTATGATGGATAGATGCACTTTTATGATGGATAGATGCACTTTTATGATGGATAGATGCACTTTTATGATGGATAGTTGCACTTTTATGATGGACATATGCACTTTTATGATGGATAGTTGCACTTTTATGATGGACATATGCACTTTTATGATGGATAGATGCACTTTTATGATGGACAGATGCACTTTTATGATGGATAGATGCACTTTTATGATGGACAGATGCACTTTTATGATGGATAGATGCACTTTTATGATGGACAGATGCACTTTTATGATGGACAGATGCACTTTTATGATGGATAGATGCACTTTTATGATGGATAGATGCACTTTTATGATGACAGATGCACTTTTATGATGGATAGATGCACTTTTATGATGGATAGATGCACTTTTATGATGGATAGATGCACTTTTATGATGGACAGATGCACTTTTATCATGGACAGATGCACTTTTATGATGGATAGATGCACTTTTATGATGGACTGATGCACTTTTATGATGGACTGATGCACTTTTATGATGGACTGATGCACTTTTATCATGGATAGATGCACTTTTATGATGGATAGATGCACTTTTATGATGGACTGATGCACTTTTATGATGGACTGATGCACTTTTATGATGGATAGATGCACTTTTATTATGACAGATGCACTTTTATGATGGCTAAATGCACTTTTATGATGACAGATGCACTTTTATGATGACAGATGCACTTTTATGATGGATATATGCACTTTTATGATGGACTGATGCACTTTTATGATGGATAGATGCACTTATGATGGACAGATGCACTTTTATGATGGACAGATGCACTTTTATGATGGATAGATGCACTTTTATGATGGACTGATGCACTTTTATGATGGACTGATGCACTTTTATGATGGATAGAGGCACTTTTATGATGGACAGATGCACTTTTATGATGGACAGATGCACTTTTATGATGGACAGATGCACTTTTATGATGGATAGATGCACTTTTATGATGGATAGATGCACTTTTATGATGGATAGATGCACTTTTATGATGGATAGATGCACTATTATGATGGAGAGATGCACTTTTATGATGGACAGATGCACTTTTATGATGGATA